TGGGACTAGTAACTTATGTAAAGTAAATAAAAAAATAATATATATATATTTTACGTTCATTTTTTGCCAATAAAAATGATCTTATGTTATAATTATTTGTAATATATTCACAACTAACTGTCTACTTTGGCATGCTTGGTCTTTTAGATATATTTTTCATTAAGTAAGAGGGATCACGACGCCTACCCAAAGCTAACATTCCTCCACGTCTTAGTACTTCCGTTACAGCCTAAAGATTACAGGATAAATGACACACGTAAATTTCGTGACTGAGTATCATCTACTCGAGTCATAACATTTTGCCCGAAGATTGATGAAACGGTGATAGAGATGTTAGGTTCTTAATACAGCCTTCTTATAAATACATGATATTGTTTGTTTATTATAATACAAAAGCTAAGGCGAAAACTTAGTTATAGCAAACATGTTCAGTGTCAGGATATTTTAAAATTCGAACTTCTTTGTCAATTAGTGAAAACAAACATACGGAACAAATCAAAAAATACTTTGTCACCACAAAAATGTTACAGACATATAATTAAAAAAGGAACACATTGTTTAATTAAGATTATATCACACTAGCTGTGTCAGCGGGACTTCGTACGGGTAGAATAGTTATTTTGGGCAACAAAGTTTGGTTTTTCAAACCTCCTCTCCATCTATAGATTTAAGGTAATGCCCACAACGTCGGTTGCGTCGTTCTTTCAACTTAATCTTAAAGAATAGACATATAGTGTCGTGGACTTTTTTTAATAATTTAAAGAGGAATCATTCCTTCTTAGATACATATTTCTTTGTTATCTTGATTTGACCTTATTTGCAGAGCTTCGGAAACGCATAAAGATGAATAAATTTCCCAATTTTTTTTCACATTTCTCGCTGTATCGCTCCTATTAGCCACTTCACGATGTGTGATAGCCTAATAGCCTTCCTGGATAAATGCTCTAACCCACACAAAAAATTTAATTCAAACCCGTAGTTCCTGAGATTAGCGCGTTCAAAAAAACAAATAAATAATATCTTCACCTTAATATATTAGTATAGATATCACATTTAGATCCGTTGAAAATTCCGTAGCGTAACAGTTGTGTTGATTGGAATTACGATAATCTTGGCCGGGCACAGAAGCCTAACCAACTGCTAAATTGACACATAAATGTGTTCGCCCAATAATCCAGTTTTTGAAATAGATAAAAGATACAGAAAACTGAATGAAAATGCATTAAGTTTGAAACTTCAAACTAATTAGAGTGTAACCAAAAAGCCTCTCAGATACACTTAATTAACGAATGTTCAACCTTCACTTGTTTGTTTGTTGAATGGAGATGTTCAATTAGCTTTACACGCTTTACTATTGTGGCGACCATAAATGAGAGAGAGATAAATATTGCGTCTTTTTTTAAATTGATAAGGTACTTAAAACAACAAGAAAAATAATGTTGAAGTTTCTTATTAATTGTACATACAAACTCCTGCGCATCTAACTTACAATTAACAATTCAGTGAGAATGTTTAGTCATAAGGGAGTTTTGAGTAAACATGTCGGTCAAAAATAATATGACATCCGAAACGTCGGGCTAACGTTCAAAAAGTTTTATTTGAATATGTACTACTCGTGTAAACTACAGACAGTATTTAATATGATGGATATTGTACGAAACATTGATTATAATTGAATTTAAAAACCGCCCATGTGACCACAGCTTCTTGAAAGCATGCTAAACGTCGTGCCGTAGATAAATAAATGCGAAATAAGTTAACTAATATATTTCGCATTTGACAGTGTTTTATTTAAATGTAATCGCGTAAATCCTAGTTAGAATTTTATGTGAATAACAAAAGATATCTGAATTTTTTCATCATAATCTTTTATATAAATAAAGATTCCATCCCGAATTTTATTTTTTGGTAAGCACAGTGCACAAAAGGTACCCAAAGAAAGTATACAAGTTTCCATTTGTGTACGAGGTCATACGCATTGAATCATCAAGCTTCATATGGTAGGCACGTCATTATCTGCTTTTTCAATCGTTCTGATGTGTTCTGTGTTGGCAGGTGCCACATCATGTTGATAATATCAGGACGTGGAATGATCGAAGCTCTCTTTTGTTTCTGTCAAAAGTCGTCTGTTCTGTTGACTACTGGAAGCACTTCAATTTATTTAAAAATGTCTGAAGTTAGGCTCACACGCAATGTATTTTGGCCTAGAAATGTCTCTGTAACTTAGTAGTTTCATTATTGATATATAGCAATAAAAAAACAACGAGAACACGAATTTGCTTAACACATTTCTATGTTAACTTTTATAGCATTAAATATAGTTTTTAAGGACACTTATTTTTAGGACGAGATCTTCATGTGTTAGTAGGGACTAACAAAGTTGATTTATCTATTAAAATAAGCAAAAATACAACACAAGGCAATTCTCATTATGTTTCTTTGATTTCGCTATTCAGTAGTAAGGTACTATAATGCGTAGTTTACGCGAGAGGTAGATATTAAAATAAGATTCTTTTAAATGTCGGTAGTTCACTTATTTTCAAATACGAATCTATGTCCTGTTTTAGTTTATTTAATTGTTGTTTGTTTAAGTTTTAGTATTTTTTTGTAAAGTAGTGTTTCTTTTCTGCTCTTGTCGCTCTCTATTTTTTTCTTATCTACGTCTCGTACATCTTCTCTTACCATGACAGTTGCTAGGAAGAGATCAACTTAGCTACTAAACCATATTGTGCATCCATTTTATTAATAGTATCTTTTGTGATGTTGTTTTATTTGTATTACAATAAATATTTGCATTTGTAGTTCGTGATATTTTACAATATAGATAAATAACAATTATTATTAAATGTATTAAGGTCGTTAATTCCTGGTACCGTCGTGACTTAATATCGTAACAATTGTAATATTGCTATTGTTCTGGGTATTTTGTATTCAGATTGTTGGAAGATTTAACGTTAAACGTTGGCTTCGAATAATAACCGAGCGCTGGTCGAAAATACGAGATGGCTTGGTATTTAAACCTGGTTCCAATATTTCTGAGATATCAAGTAGGTAGCCAATGGTAATATTTAGGTAGTTCGTCAAAAACCCATAGTTATATCACTGAGGCATCCACATAAAAGAACAAGACGAAAATTTTAGTTATCAACGCCGGTGTTAAATTCCTAAATTATTGCTGATGATGAAAATATTTCATTTATGATAGAGAAGGACAGACGACCATGGGTTTAATTGCTGGTAGGTGAAGTGAGTTCGATATTCCTACCAACTATTTAAATATGCAGGTTTTCAGACGAAGTGCAACGTGTTTCAGAAAAGTTATAAATTGATTAGAAAAATTTTGGACCCAGTCTTTACTTTTACTTTATACGATGTACAGTTCTATGATAGGTATATACTTATTAGGTTATATTTACAAGAGAAAATTGCAATATAAGGAAGCATATGTTTATGCAGAAAGAGAGGTCAAGAGGTTGATTTCTTGAGAATTATGATTAGCTTGTAACTTCGGGGTCTAGCCATGATGATACAGCGACGTCAGATAATCAAGAAATTAAAGTGGCTATATTTTATTCATTTTTAAGTCAGTATTCTTTCGCATGACCATCGTTTTAGAAAATTAATTAAACGATTGAATGTAAGAGTAAGAACTTAGGCACCTATGGAATTAATATAGTGATAACATGTTTAATCAATGTGGAACAACGATGGTCATACGTAAGGCGGCCGAGGAAAACCTTACTTACCAGACTTTGGCAGCTGGACTTAAACGTCTATAGTCTCCCCGTGACCACGGCTGCTGCAAAGCATCCGAAACGTCGGGCCGAAGTTAAAAATCATTTTCAAATAAGTTTAACTAATATATCGCGTTTTAAACCGTTGAAGTGTTTTATTTGAAAGCTGGACTTAGGCACATTTTTTTAATGGTAGAGGAGTACAGATGGCAGGAGTTATTTTCCAGCCGTGTAAATAGTACAAGATGTGCCGTCGACCAATGTTGGCATTAGATATTTTATCTAGTTGGCAAATGAAAGCAATTTCAACTTTTATAACGTAGTACATAGGAACACTAATTTATTGTAAACATAAATTACATGAATACCGAATCTACTCCATAAAATTTAGTTTTTTTTTTCAAGCGACATGTTAGTACGAAGGTCACTGTACTAAGTAAACAATGAACCGTTTTGAGTACATTTCTTAGTCACTTTTCATTGTCAGGTAATACAGTAGGCAGTAAAACGCGTATTTTGAATACTTAATGTTGGTAAGTAGTAATGTAAGACGTTCGATGAATTTCAACGTTCAAAGTATTTTTATGTATTTGATATTGTAATGAGGACTTGGGAGATTTAGAAATATTGTTTGCTTCTCTCTTGCCTTGTTGCGCGCAAAGCAAACCTCGGCTATAGAAATAACTATTTACTTCAGTTTTATTACGTGTCCCGCAACTAAATACTATTAGATAGTTTGGGTGTACTTCCGAAAAGCGCATACCGCCGATCGATCTGAAATTTGGTATACTTATGTATTTTGACCTCCTAATCACGAATAGCATAACGAAAATTGGCATTACCTTATAAACTGAAATATTTTTTTCAAAATAAAAACAATAATTTATTCTCTAAAAACAATATAAAGATTTATTCTTTTATATTATACTCTTACGATTTACAACAAATATCCTTTACAGCAATATAAATTATGATCTTACCTGAAAAATATTAATACACTACAATGAATTTTATTATCGTTATATTTGCAATTATATAGTTATTATAACATATCTTTTACAAAAATATCTTTAGTTCTTTAAATCAAACGCCATTTTTAACTCACAGATTATAAACGCGCAAAGCGCGGCAAATTTGATTTTATGAATGTCAATGTCATTCATTACAATTATTAATATTGGTTGACGTAAAATCTACCTATTTGACTTGAAGTATAAGTTTCTGAAGTAAAACCTCTTTTTTCAGGAATCTGCCTGATGCCCTGATATGCCGATCACAGCACTCCAAAGGGACACGAACTCTGTGTCTCCAGTACAGCCTTCGTCGTATGAAGAGGCTCTAGCTAATGTAAGTACCATAGAACGACAGGCACACAGAGTATATACGTATAAGGATTGATTTACATGGTTTAACGCAGATACGAAATTAGAATTTAATCGTCAGTCTACTAGCTACATTGAGAGTAGTTTTAATTATTCGTTAACAACTATTAGTTTAAAAACTAATCCTTTTTGATAACCTTGTGTTTCAAACTTTGATCATATTTGCAGCTTCTATCTTTTAAATTAGGATTAGCTATGTATTTATGCAAACTAAATAATAACCATTCAATAGCTGCAATGAAATATACTTTTTATATTTCATATATTGTGTCTAAATAGAATATTCCGCGTACTTTAAGGCTTTGATGTAATTATAAAGTAACAATAGCGCAGGGCGGTCGGTCGGTTCAAACGTCTTACGGTAAAGGTGTATTGTGATAATTAAGTACCGCTTACAATTTACTCCACAATTATAGCAGACCAGATTAGGCACGTACCAACCATTTTGTTTATTTCAATTATTTCGTCTAAGGGTAAATACTTAGTACGTTTGACTGCAGATGAGTAGGATTTGAATCCTGGACAGCTCTGATCGAGTCGTCGGTAATTGGAGTTTAAATAGTCATCACTAATTTGCTAGTGACTCTTAAACTTTTTTAATATAAGAGAAGACGTTTAATTATACTTATATGCATCCTACGAATATTTATATTTTTAACGCCACTGCAATTATCTCCTAACTGCAATTATTAAAAATTGTGAAATTCTCGTGGTGTATGGGGCGAACACATTTCTGTATCCGTTTCATTGATCGCTTTTGTTTACAAGCCAGTTGTTGATCAGACTTCTGCGTCCTGTCCAAACGAAACATTTTATTGTTGCTCTAGGATTTGAATTTTGAACTCAGGACCTCTCGCGCTTAACGCGATGCAAGTCAAAACGTTTAGCCATATAGCTACAAAGGTCGATCACTATACCATTACTATAACATATACTTGTTTAATAATATTAATTATAATATATTATACTAAAAAAAGCTACTTTTATAAATCGAAATCTTCAAAATGGACATCATACCAATGTTGCAAAAGGTACTTGGCATATTTCTAGCGAATAAACATTTCGTTATTATGTAATCAATTCGTCGCATGCGCCGATATTCAATTCTCTAAGCTATTAGCGAATTGAATATCAGCAGCGGCTAGCAATTTACACGTCCGTTTTATTTTACGATTAAATGAAAATATTTCTGTACTTTAGCTCATTGTGTGAATGGAAAATGTTCGTTATAAACGGAGATATCACTATTACAATTCGCTTGCATACAATGCTGTATTTTAGTTTACTGCAGCGAACAGCCTCGCGCGGTCTTTTCGCGTTTCGATGTAAAAATATTTACAGTGAAGTGAAAAACGTGTCGTACTCTGTAATAATTTGAGTTATATTTGTTTAGTGATTCGTTACGGTTTATTTGTTGGCGTGTGTTGCACCTATTAAAATATGAACCTTGGATGTTTATGGATATTGATTCAGTATTTTTAATGGAATACTCACGACTTACGCTTTAGCTACCAATTTTATACAAAATCTATAAAACGTATCAATATCGTCTTCATTAACAGTTACTGCCATAAAAGAAGAGTAGACATACTCGAATTTCATTTTATTAGTTTAAAAAAATTTCGTTGTCTGAAATCGAACCTACGACTAACAACGTACCGCGTCGTTTCGTTAGTTTAAGAATGCTTTTGTCATATCCATATGTTAACTGTCATTTTCATTAACATGCGAAAATTATAAGAATTATAAAGATTCAAGTTTACTTAAGTTGTAGCGTGTTTTTCTATACAAAATGTTGATCTAAAGTTTAGTCTTAAGAACAGTAGTAGTTACTACAATAAAGATATTACGTAACGTTATTACACCATGAACTCGGAGTGAAGGCATTTGCATCTTTACATTGCGAATCTAGAATTAATGGTGTAGGTATAATTAACGAGATACCTTTTATAATCACTATTTTACTAGATAATATATTTCAAGAATGTAATAATAAATATCATCAATAAGTGGCACACATCAAATAAAACAAATTTAAACCGGTTAATACCGGAACTGTATTAATTTATTAAAGCAATTAAAAAAGTAGTTGTTAGTATAGTTCACGTTTCAACCAGTATAAAGGTGTTTTTAATATGCTTTTATATATATTTTGAGTTAAATGACACGTTGATTCTTTCAATTCAACGAAAACTAATTTTGCTATGACTAATACAAACATACAATATGTGTAAAATGTTATGCTTTAAAATATCTATCTGACATACCTAGTCACCAATTAATAAAAAATATTTCCAAGTACAGTCGACTTTGACAGAATACTTAATAAGAAAATAATTCTCATAGAGAAACATACATTTTGTAAGTAATAGTAATAAAATGAAATTTTTAATTGAAAAAGCTACAGAGTCAAGTTATATGAATTGTACAAATTATGTTAATTTTTACGTTCAACGCCTAAATATTAAGTATCCACAGATCTAAATTTATTACCAGCCAGTACCTACCATCAAAATTAAAAAGTTATTTATTATTAGATAACCCACACAATAAGGTTAACTTAAATATAATACACACATATTATAAACAGCATACAGCTTCAAACAAAATTTAAGGTAGTTTATCACCATTTAATTGATGTGGTTAAATGGATCCTTGTTTGAGTAGAGTATAATGTTTTCTCACACTTAACTATAAGCGGCACAGATTAAGTAATAAATTCGTTTCATTGATCAGGGTTACGCAAACCACAGTGACAGTTTGAGAATAGCTCACCTTGCTGCGTGGGAGCCATTTTATGGTAATTCCATGACTACCGTGTTTGCAAAATCTTTTATATAGATTTTCCTTCGTATTCCATATGTTGGGTGTAAATTTCATTAAGTTTTTTTTTTATTTTAGGCAAGTAGGTTTTTTTTATTATAGAAGAGGACAGGTAAGCACGGGGCTTACATAAAGGGAGGTGAAATATGCCAGACATATTATGACACCTACACAAGATGCGCTGTCGACTTTTAACTTTGGATATTCGGAAATCCACAGACTGAATCCGAAACGCGATTAAACTTCACGGCTTTTTCCTTTGTGGACCCATTTAATATTCAGATTACTAGACGAAATCAAATATGTTACATAAAAATTATAAATTGATTAGAAATATTTTGGTCCCGATGGGGATCGAACTCACGCTACTACCAATGCGCTTTTAGGCAGCGCCTTTGTAATTTAAATATTTATCGTCGTATATCACAGTAACTCAGAATAAATAATTAATGAATTGATGTGAATACAAAAGAAAAAAGTTAATTTCCCTGTGGGCCTGCGACAAAAACATCGTCCATTTCACAAATCGATATATAAGCAAGTAGTTGATCAGACAGAGCCCTGCACAATCGAAAAAAAAGAGAATACACAAAAATACTTTATGGCCCATTGAAAAATATAAACACAACGAGACGAATCGCTCTATACCTACATTTTCTATAGAACTAAGGAAACAATAAACATAGCACGACCCTCAGTTTTACATTAATATTATGTAGATTTATTCTTATCTACTCATCCATGCCATATTATTTCTGTTTTGATGACATACTGTTTATGTTATGTGTATTATTTTGACCTTCCTCAGAATTAAGAATATAAAGCTCAACATCGAAGTACAGAAAAAGAATGTAAACTGAAACAACTGCACAAAAAATTATACAAAGCATAATCACTAAATCGGTTATAAAAACTGATACTTATTTCCTCTTTCTTCTTTGTTTGAGATAGAAGAGGACGAAAAAGCATCTGGTTTACTTGATGGTAGGTGAAATACGTGTTGTCGAAATATTTTGGCTTTGGGTATTTATAATAGATATTACAAACATTTTTGACGAGCTCTCATGGTATGTATGTAGTTATGGTGGCCATGTGTAGTAACCTTCGGGTCGTGAGTTCGGTCCCCACCGAGTCAAACATATTTAAATATAAAAAAAAAATCTAAACCATGTTAAATGTCTGGAAACCATGATGTTTAATTGGTGGTAGGAATACCACAGATGAAAAAGTTAATTAACCGTTATGTTTAATCGCGTATCCTTTTTAGTCCATGAAACACAAAAAACACATGAAAATTGTAATGATTCAAACTCTATGGTTTATGTTATAACGATATACTCTGTGTATAGTTTGAAACAAGAGGCTCACGCTTGACTAAACCGTATCGGATGACCAAGAGTCACGGACACGCGCTCTCCTGACGATATCTCAAGGTGCCTTCTTTACCGAATTACACAGGTTTCACGACATATACCTACAATAAAAATATAAAATCAATCTCTGTGTATATAATAGATCATAGCTAGTCTATAAGAAATTTTCATTCCTCTAGAATAGGTACCCGTAGGTTTTGTCTATAAAATGTGGTTATATCCAAAGAATTATGTACAATACTTCATCTGCATTGACCAGCCATATAGCTGCCGCAGGCTCTTACATAGAAATAGAAAGTGCACATATAAAATCCCATAATCTTAATTATATTTGATTTCCTAGGAAAGCAGTTTTTTTCTGCTGTAATTCGAGACGTCTACCATTTTTTAATATCCAATAACAGTTTTGATTGATTGATTGATAACATAACTACCGCTGGCGGTATTATAACTGGTTCGAATTACATTTTAAAATTAGTCGATCGCATTTCTTTGGAAAGGTTGTGTTATATAACATAAAAAAGATATCGTGATAATATACGCGTTAGGATTACAGTTTAAAGAAAGAGCAGAACCTATGCAAGAATATATTTAGTTTTTAGACTGAATAATATATATGTAATAATGGTTCCAAAGGTGACAATTCAAGTCCAGCATGTTTGAAAACCAATTTCCTTTTTTTCTTAACTTGTTGGGCCTACTGCTATAATAAAAAAATGGGTGGTAGAAATATGCGTAACTTCTTCCTCGAAGAATACTTAGTTGCTTT